TTTTTTTTTTTTTTTTTTTTTTTTTTGAGACAGGGTTTCCCTGTAGCCTCATTGGCCTGGAACTCAAATTCACTGTGTAGAACAGGCTGGACTTGTACTCACAGAGATCCACCTGCCTCTGCCTGAGCGCTGAGATTAAAGGCCTGTGCCACTATGCCCAGGGCAGCCAGTGCTCTTAACTGCTGAGCTATCTCTCCAGCCCTTCTTTGTTCATTTCTTAAATCTCATACATGCCTTGATGTGAATCTGTGCTTTGAATTATATGCAGTTGTTCAGAGTGTACCAGAATAGCTTTAATAATAAAGAAACATACTGGACACTATTCACTTTACATAGGAAGTGATTGGATGGATCATTTAAGTTGGGGGCTTATCAATAAGTAGGGTTTTTTTTCATAATTTATGATGTATAGTTGGTTTTTAATATATGGATTATTTGTTTAGGGTTTTGAGACAGGGTCTCTTATAGCCTAGGATGGCCTTGAACTCATTGTGTAGCTGAGGATGACCTTGAACTCCTAATCTTCCTTTCTCCATCTCCCAAAGGCTGGGATTATAGGTGTGCCCCAGCGTGCCTCTTTGAGAAATCTTAGGGGCTGACCCGATGACTCAGCCAGTAAAGTACTTGCTGCCAAGCCTGACTACCTGAGTTTAATTCCTGGGACCACCATAAACTGACTCTTGAAAGTTGTCTTCTGACATCCATATGTGCACACATGTAAATAAACATAATAAAAAAATTAAAATCTTAAAAATTTTGACCTCAGTACATTTTTAAAATCTTTTTGAGACAGGGTCTCCGTGTAACCACAGCTAGCCTAGATCTTGCTATGTAGGCCAGGCTGGCCTTGCACTCACAGAGATCCCCTGCCTCTACCTCTCAAGTGCTGGTATTAAAGTCCTTCACCTCCAGGCCTGACTGACATCAGCGCATTTTATGTTTAAGTATTCCTAACTCTTAATTACTACAAGACTCGTTAAGGGAAAAAGTGTTGTATATTTTAGGACTAGCTCCGGAGTTGCATTCTATATAAAAATTTGTTCAAAGTAGAAATTCATGAGACTAAGAGGAAGGAGGCGTGGCTTTGGAGCAGGTTTCCTGTGTTTAAGTCTCATTTCTACTGTGTTTTAACTGTGAGACAGGAGACAGGTTATAAAACTTTTTCAGGCTTCTTTTTCTGCATCTGTAAAGGAGGGATAGAAAAGTACTAGGTCTGATTCACTGTGAGAGTTACTTAAGACATGTCTTCAGCCCCTGAGCACCCAGAGCCACAGGGAAGCTGCTGGGTGAATGGTCATTGCTGTTCTCATTTGCATACACTGGGATAGTATGAGGTGAAATGCTCTGTTCTTTTTCAGTTCTTTGAAGCCGTTGAGCACCACAAGCATGTGGAAGCAGAGCTGAGGAGTCGGCTGGACACTTTGGAGACAGAAGCAGCCCAGCACCAAGCTGTGGTTGATGGCCTGACCCGGAAGTACATGGAGACCATTGAGAAACTACAGAACGACAAGGCTAAGCTAGAAGTAACTGCCCCCCTCCCCAGCCTGCTACCCCCATAAAGTCATCCTAAAAACCAGTTGAGGTTCTTGTAGGTCTCAGGTGCTCTGTTGAGCACACCAAGTTAGTTGTTCCAGGGGAGTGTCTCCCAAGGGTGCCCCAGCCATAGTCTGAGTTGTCTACTTTTCTTCTTTGTTTTTGTTTTCTTCCAATTTCAGGTAAAATCTCAGACTCTAGAAAAGGAGGCCAAGGAATGTCGACTTCGAACAGAAGAATGGTATGTGGACACACGAATGCTCATGAGCCCTGAAGTGAACCAGAATTTTGGCAGCTCCCTGTCTTCAGTCTCACATTTGCGCCAGGGAGACTGGAATAGGTCATGTCCAGGGTCCTTGTCCATCCTCAGCATTCTTGACTGAGTGGCTTCTGTGCTAGGCCTCAGCAGAGGGTGTTTGATCCGGGGAACCCTGCTCCTGTAGTGGGAACTGGGCACTTGGTGTTTAAACTCCACTGAGACAAGGACTAATAGTCCCCAGCAGGAAAGCTGGCTAAAACTCATGATGCCACCCTTCTGATGGTATGTTTTAATAGAATGTGGGATTTCATTTAGAGATGTCTAAATCTAAAAATACTATTAGCAATTTGTGTTGAAGTCATATTCTTTTTTTTGAGGAATATACCATAATATTATAGGTTTCACTGCACTGGTAGAATTATAGGCATAATTTAGATGTGTATTGTGATAATCATTTAACCAAAACAGAAACTGTCAGCTTTTGAGCCTAAGGAAAGAAATAATCTGATTATAATACTTTAAACAATCTTTACAGTGATACTTGAATTAACATTTAGATACAGTAAAGAGAAAACATATGATTTTTCTTAGGGAGGCATGGGACTGTGCATCTTTGGGGCTTTGGAACGGAGCTGTGGAGCTTCTCTTGTTGTCATGAACAGCCTCAGCAGTGTCCCTAGTGTCAGCCACAGGTCTCTGAAAGCCCGGTGCCAGTTGTTGGGGTAACAAGTGGTTGATGATTGGTGATAATATGGTTCTGTGGGTTTTTTTTCTTTCAGTCAATTACAGTTAAAGAATCTTCATGAAGATTTGTCAGGTAGATTAGAGGAATCCTTATCAATCATCAATGAAAAAGTACCTTTTAATGATACAAGTAGGTATTATGAAAACGTAAGTTTTCCATTATTTACAACTTTGAATCTCTCTATAGTAGCTAGCTAATTAAAATAATGTCTCATCTCCTTGGCAGAAAACTAAACTGGCCCAACAGAGGGTTGCTTTGTTGTCGTAGTTCTTTTGATCAGGTGTAGCGCTCATATTTCATGGCAACATCTTAAATTATCACGTAAATTATCACGTAACTCCATAGCCAGTCTTCTTGGAAGTCCAAATGCAGTTTTTGATTGTATACATTTATCATATCCCAAGGTAAAACTAACCTGCATATAAAGTGGTTTGTATAAGCAGACTTCTTTGGGGTGAAGGGGTCTGGTCTGCACAGTGGTATCTTTTCAGTCTGGTATCATCTGCCCCAGTGAAGCTCTTGGGAAGTCTGCTTCTCCTTCATCCTGGAGATGGTCTGGTAGCTTTCACATTCAAAAGTAACAGCAAGAAAAAAAAAAAAAGGAAAAAAGAAAAACCATAAACAAAACCCTAAAACAGCACCTTACAGGTGCAATAGGTTTTTTAGCAAGAATTAACTAAAAACTTTGAAAGCAAAATAAACATCCGGAGGCTGTTTATTTATAATAAATAGCAAAAATAAAATATCTGGGAGGCTGATGAGATGGCCTAGTGGGGAAAATTGCTTGCTGCCAAGTCTGACTACTTGAGTTTGATCCCCAGAATCCACATGGTAGGAGGATAGACCCAAGTTGTCCTTGACCTCCATAGGTGCACTGTGGCACTCAGACACCCACCATAAATAAATTAATTTTAAAAAATAAGCCAGGCGTGGTGGTGCACTCCTTTAATCCCAGTGCTCGGGAGGCAGAGGCAGGCGGATCTTTGTGAGTTCAAGGCCAGCCTGGTCTACAGAGTGAGTTCCAGGACAGCTGGGGCTACAGGGAGA